TTCTCCATCAGGGTCTTGGTTCCTCGAGAACAGAACACCTTCCCTGCCAACCCAAGTCAAGCCTCATACCTAAAAATCTCATCTCCCTCCACCTTCCAACATGGAACTCAGGAAAATAAATGCTTTGATAAATTACCTGGCATAAAACCTCATAAGCCACTTCCCTGGGCAGGCAAGTCTGACCACCTTTTTACTTTTTGTGAGTGAGAGAATAAAGCCTTACCTTTTTTGGACTCCAAGAAAGGAACATAGGACGGCAGCCATTTAGGCAAGGTAAACTGCCTGAGCGTGTGGAACTGCCCGACCCTCACCTTCATTTCTGGAGGTTCTCCACATCCTATCTCAAAGATTTACTCTCAATATTTCTCTAGATCAAGACCACTTTTAAATAGACTAACATTTTCTAGACTGCCCACACAGAATCAGAAGGGGGATGAATTTTTAAAAACCTGGGTTGGACTCAATTCTAGTTCAGTTACCTCCACAAAAGACTCATGTCCCCCAGACTCTAGACACTATACTGAAGGAAGCTGTTTAAACATAAAAAATTTTGCCTGGAGTCCCCTAAAGAAACAACTTTAGCAGGTGCACTTAGAGCCACCCAGTTTATGTGAGGAATGGCCATGCTCTTACTCCTCTTTGTATCCTTCCCCTCAAGGTTGAGACTCCCATGATGGCTGAGGTATATCTACATATTACTTTCCTCAATCTCCCAAGATGAAGTCCTGGAAACAGTATCTTATTCTCTCTGTCTAGAGACTTTCTTGGATGACTGTTGTGTAGGGGAACTTCAACGAAGCCTCCCAAACCTTAGGGTCTTCTTTATGAAAATTTCACAGTTGAGATTCATCTCTTTGTTGTTAAAAATTCATCCAAGTCCCCAATAGTCTTACACCCCCCCATTGGAACTCCTAATATCATGGAAGCTGTTACTGGAAATGTAAGCTCAAGGGGTTAACTTTCTAGGCAGGTAATATTAGTGTACCCTATTTCAGGTGAGGGGTAAGGGCGTTGCCCAATCCTCACTCAAGGTCCTTCCCTTAATATTTTACAAGCCTGAGACTCCTTCACTGTTTACCAGAATCTAACCCTGTCCTAAACTCTCATGCCCTTCTGGCTCTAGACATTTAACTCTGGAAGCTTGTATCAGCCTTGGAGACTCCAGGTCTAATTCAATGTCCCAGGGAACCTGGTGTTCTCTACATTGATGAAGAGAGAGGTTACAAGTCAAACTTTGGAACTTTCCCCTTGCAATTGGCCAGGCATAGTTTGACACCCTCCCCTGGGGTGAAACCATAAGTCTCAGAATCTCCAAATGGAATTATGAAACAATATATTTGAAGATCTAGATCATGTGTAGATATGGCACCTGGGGCCCATGGAACTGCTGTTTCCCCCATCTGAAGGCAAAAGACCCCTTCTTTTGTTTCCGAACCTTATGCTTAGCTATTCCAAGACTCCACCGACACCAGAGCTGAATTTATCCTTATCAGATTAAACTCCACCTCCTTTAGATTCCCGAAATATAATTCAGTATTCACAACTGAGACCTCTGCCTTCTGCCTTCCAAGGATGAATGCTGAGGAAGAATGTTGCTGAGGAGTTCCCTCCTGTATGGAGTATAAAAGCTAAGTCCTAGCTTAGAGCTCTCACCTTGTTCAAAGCATTGTCTATAGGGACCTGAGCCCTCAGTCTCAGAACAACTCCCTCTAGATCCTAAGAGGGGCAAGTTGGGAGTGAAAGAGCAAGATATGATCCCTCCAATTCCCAGGGATTTCCACAGGTAACAACTAATTTAAAATGTGCCTGGCATTGTAGACATGCGGTCAGGCTTCGCTAGGATAGTCATAGCTATATTTAATATTGAAAGTCCTGGGCCAAATCCATGTGCTTTTCACTTCTTACAATCCATCTTATAATCCTGTGTGCCAAGGTCCTCACTGCCCTGAAGAGTTCAAGAAATGGTAGACTGGGTACTTATCTCTAATCGTTCAGGCTAGACATGCCCAAGCCATTAACATGAGCAGTTTTTTTTTTCTATGTCTCAGGTGTCTCTGAAGAGAGGTATACACATTTCTTCCTTCAGAATCTGGCCAGTGATATCTAACTGGTCCCTTGTACTTTCTTAATACTCAATATTGAGAGTCCTCA